GCAGGCCCGCCAGCTCTGCTGCCTGCATGGATGGGCACCTGCCCGCCAACCCTTCCCGAGGCTCATTTGCACCGGGATATGCACAGCCCCTCGGCAGATATTCCGGTGCCACGGCTGGGCGGCAGGCAGGGCGCCATGGGGAGAGCCCAGTGCAGACAGCCGGGGAGGGCAGGCTGTGCTGGGCCCGGTGGGGCCAATCCAGGCAGGTCCTGCGCAAACACAGCGCTGCTGCTCCTGTCTGCATGGCCCCAGCTACGACCTGGGGGAAGGAATTGAAAATCAGGCACAACTGCATGGCTGGACCAAGCCTTGCCTTGCCCATGTCATTCACCAGCTGCTTTTTTCAAGCCCAGGAAGTTAAGCAAGGACCTCGCCTCAAAATCAAATGGGGGGGGGAAGGGGGGGGGGGGGGGGGGGGGCTATTGACCTGCAGCAGCTGGAGCTTGGTACCAGAGAACTGCAGAGCAATGGCATCCTTGAATAACATTCAGAGTAAGATCTATTCATCTATTTTGTTTTCAAGTGTGTCTTCTGCTCAATAATATGGAGCTTGCTGCAGAAACTCACTGAAGCTGGTATTTGTCATCTTCAATCTCCTGGCCAGGCCCATGCTTTTCTACTTGACTGCTTTGAAGCACCTCTCATAACGTGCTTCCAGATGCAGAATGACCCCAAAGGCAGGTCCCAGAAAGCAGCCTGAAGACCGCTAACAAATCATGGGTGTTGCCCCATCTCCTCCTGGGATCGGAGCCAGCAGCAGCAGAGCTGGGCTGACCTCCCTGCTCGGCCTCCTGCTGCCTTTCAGCTCCCCGGGGCACTGGTGCAGCAGCAGCACGCACCTGCCCTCGCCTGAGCAACCTGGGCTGAGCCTCAGCTGATCTGCCTTTGCATGCGTGGTGCGTAGGCATTGATATCTGATCTAGTCAGCCAGAAAGAGCTGCTTTTAGGGCACAGTTCATCTGATCTATTCTAAACTGATGTCTCCTTTGCAATAAGTCACCCCCAAAGTGTCTCTTTCTGCCCAGTGACTCCACGGGGAGCTTGCAGTGACTAGCTCAGGCAAGGCACGTACCGGTGAAGCCTAGCAGGCACCGAGCCTGTGTTCAGCCTGTCACCCGGAGCCTTGCAAAGGGCCTGTTGCGGTTGGGAATCTCAGACAAAGGATCAACCAGGGCACATGCAATACGCAGTTGTGGCTGCTTGCTGTTAAAATGTTATTTCCATTATGGTGTTGCAATCTGGGTCTCGTAAAATAACACAGCAGCTTGATTCTCTGCGCAGGAGAAAGAGAAGGGGGGTCAGACAAGGGAAAAAAATCCTCTGAGGGGGTCCAAGCCCCATCGCCTGCTCCTAGTGAGCAGTCACAACGTGGCAGCCTCCTGGGCAGACATTCTCCATCTCTGCAGCTGAAACTCTTCTCCTGTGTGGGTCTCTTGGAGACCATGAACAAATACAGTATCAGCCATTTTACATTCCTTGATATAAATGAAGTTACATGGCCAGAAGCTGAGACTTCTGATGTTTATTGCAAGTGCTATTTATAATACCAACACGAAAGCAGAGCATTTATGCATTACAAGTACATTCACTTTGGAGAAAAGCATGAAAAAACAGTAACATGATCACATGTAAACTACTGGGGGAGCTAGCCCCAGTCAGGAAAAGTGACTTGTGCTCTTTTGTAGTTACTCCTGAAACTTTCAGAGCAACTTTAAGCCAAAGGTCTCGAAGCACTTCAGAGTTGTGTAATAGGTGGAGACATAGCAATCAAAAGCTGTGGCAGAGTTCACGCTGATTTTTGTAGGCTTTGGATAAAATCAATAGGTAATGTGTAACAGGCAACTGGGGGTCAGGAACTCTTGCCCCCCGCTCTGCTTGAACCACCAGGCACCTTTCTTCCTCTTCTAGTCTCAGCTTATCGGTGCCATCGCTCTAAAGTAAATGGCACCAAAGTCCACGCCTTGTAACCATATGCACAGAGACTAACAGGGCTGTTGAAGAGTAGAGAGGCTGTTCCCATCACCTAGCCTGACCCTCTACAGCACACAGCAGCTGTTCTTGACTTCTGAAGTCTTCAAATGCTGGAAAAGCCTCACAGTATTAGCTAATTGTTCCAATAATTAAGTGCTTTTGTTGTCTAGAGCCTACACTTAATACTGGCTCTCAGTCCCTCTAGTGGCAGTTTTCAACACTGAATCTCTGTTCTCAAAGACACTTCTGAATTAAAAAAAGCACAAAAGCTGGTTTAACAATCAGATGAGGTTTCTAACATTTAAAGCTGTACTGCACAGCGTAAGTATTGTAATCTGTATTATATGAAACAACATCTGTTTCTTTTACATATACTCGAAGTATCTCTTCATATATTGTTTCATGTAATATGCAATAGGTGTACATCTAGGTCAGTCAGTTCTGTCTTCTCTGCTTTTGCTCTGCTGAAGACAGGCCAAAGAAATGAATGGTTGTGCTTCGGCTCAGTGAGACCTGAAATCATTCTGGATTCCTTCACAGGGAGGAAAGTCAATAGTACTAGGGCACCTGATTGATAAGAAAATTGTACTGTTTTTGCATAAAGCTGATGCTCCAGTAAAGCCTTGTTATTCCTTGATTTTGTAGATCTCGAGCAAGGAAAGTAGTTTTGTGCACAGCCAAAATAAGGTCTTACGGTAAAGATCGGGACGAAGAGTTATTTGGAGCTGGAGATCAGCATTGCCCATATTGAACCAACAGTGTGAGCGAGAAGCACAAAGCTGTGCTTTAGGGTCAGCATCCTTGTTTCCCCATGCAGCAAGTTGCATGGGACTCACAAGATGCCTCATCTGGCCTGAACCTGCTCCCCAAAAGGCTGAGCGCCCCAGCTAAACTCACCACAGCTAGATGGAGGCATCCTGGGCAGTATTAGCTCTTAGATCTGCCAGCTCTTAGACCCATGGTGCCTCTTTGTAGAGCTATCAGTTGTTCCAAAGTTAGAGCACGTGAGCGTCACTACGAGGTTAGTTGCTTTTCACCCAGCTGTTGGCCAGCTGTGGGAGACTACAGCACCAGCAGTGTTGACAGTGACAATGTGTTTGCATACATGGATGCTCAGAGCGTGCTGTAATACCGTGTTATGCTGTTGGGCTTTTTTTCCTGAGAAGGGAAGCAAGAAGTTTGTGCAGTTCAGCAGCAGGAAGAGTAGTAAAGAAAGATGAGTTTCCATCCATTTCTTTCCAGGTTTCCTGGCTGAAACTACAGCCTGTCTCTGCCTCCCCTTAAAAGAAAAGTGGTTCTCTCAATCACAAAAGCAGAATGAGAGGAATCGAGGAAGCAGAGTGGCTGCCCTGGAGAAATGCTCAGGAAAATAAATACAAAAGCCTGCATGTCTTCCCGTCGTGAAAACAATGCAGTTTTCTTCTTCAGGTAACAAAGATTTAACATTTGTAGGTACCAGGCATGCCTGTGGCTAGCTTGGTGTCAGAGTGATAGAAAGATCAGAGTTGCAGCAGTACTACCAGTTACCGTGGAACTTCCCTATGTTACTGGAAAACCACCTGCATAGTAATCAAATATATCATATTTACAGCAAATGAATGCAAACAACGGTGGGTTGGAGCTCTGAACGTGCGACCAGCCCTGTTGGCGCTGGAGGTTAAACAACGCTATAACAACCACCGCAGACACAGTAAACTGATAACGTGTTCAGAGAGCATAAATCTCTCTTTCCTCTCTCTATCATTGTGGTGTTCGTGACACGCTGGGTTTCTGACTGTGCAATGAAACAGCATTTGACTGAGGTTTGGTGTTTGTAAGGGAAGTTGCTCCTGAGCCAAACGGCTCCTTTGGAGCACAGCAAAAAGCCGCAGCAGCGTGATGGGTGGTTTTGTAAAGCGTAGGATCCTCGGTGAAATTACCCTGGCCTCCCCATCCAGGCCCTCTGTTGTATGACAAAAACCAATGTATGTGACAGATTGCATAAAACCTTCATTGACTGTTCCTGCTCAACTTAAACCAAGTATTTTCTTTTGCCACCTGATATCAGTCCCTTGCTGCCAAAAAAAATTTTTGTAATCAGGAAAGAAAAGAAGCCAAGACATTGAGTATTAAGTCATCATTTATAATTAATTTTCTTCAGATTAAAATAATTTTCTGAAATCTTGTAGGGCTTGCTTGTTTTATATCAGGTTCTTAGATGGCACTTACATTACACATGCCCACACTTGGAAAAGATTATTTCACCCCATGTGTTTATTGTCATTATTCTTTTGAGCGTGTTCTACTTGATTCTGTAAAACATTAAATACGCCAGAGGAAATACCAAAGGTGAAGATATTGAATGCTGCTAGTGCTACAAAAGATAAATAAGCTGAAAGCTTTGACATGACAGCCTGAGATACCGTAACAAGCTGTGGGTTTTCTCCACTCCAAAACTACTTTCAAGCCATGGTCTTTTCTACAGCAAGATGGGAGGACAAGGTAGGGCTGAAATAAAATACTGAATGAAAAGAAAATATTTTTAGCTGTTGCTAGCAAACTTTTCAACCCCAATGTGCTTTTCACCCATTCTGCTGCTCAGCAGGGACAGCAGACCCCATTCAGCAGTGAGAAAGCATGTCCATGTGTATGCTGCCCTCCCCGAAGGTGGTCGGAGGACGTGGCTGTGCCGGTCTGGAGGCCCACGGCTCTTCCAGGAGGAAACGGCCAGCAGCTGTAGCCCAGGGGCAGCGGGCAGTGGATGCTTCTATCTGGGACTCTGCTTTTATTTCCTCTTCCCCCCCTTTCACGTCCTCCCCTTCTCCATCCTTTTTGCCTGCACCTGCCAAAGGTAAGTCCAGCTTCATCCTGCCTTTGCGTCCAGTTTACATGGCGGTGGCCACCTTATGTTTTGCAGCAGGGATATATATAGAGAAAATCACATCTGTCAGCCTCTGCTAATTCTTTGGCTGTTCGGAGCAGTGGTCATTTGGGTGGTGCCTTGGAGTCTCGTGCACCCTGCTTTAAGGCTGGCTTAATGGGAGAGGAGGTCAGTATCTGCCCTGGGGGGCTGGTGAGGCCAACCCCCTGTCCTCAGACTCCTCTTTCGGCTTTTGTAATCTCAGCCCATCCTGTTCTGGTGTTTCTGATCGCCCTGCCCAGGGCTTGGCAGCTGGTTTTGTCTCCGCCATTGGCTCTTTCCTCTTCTCTGAAGGCTCTTTTTTCCTTGGTGCATCTGCTCCATCTGTTCCTTGGGCACCATCCTCTGTGGCACTGGATGTTACCTGCGCAGCTGGCGCCGGCTGAAGGGGCTCACAGCTCTTTTTCCACCTCCTGGCTCCTGACCGTGTATTGAATTCGTACATTTTGCCAGTGACTTGCAAGGGAGAAAAGACAATCGATTAAAACCATTCCTG